AAGGAAGACTTAGAGGAACGCACCTTGTCCAGAGTCCATTGTATGCATCATTATTTCCAGAGTAGGACTGTGGACATGGTACATTCCCAGACGTTTATTGGCATCGTAGTCGGCATCGTCAGTGAGTCTCACCATTCGTAGCACCATATTACAACTCGTCAAAGAGACAAGTGAAGCCCATTCTTTGACCAAACGTGTGCTAAACAGTTATGATATCTCCCCTTCTGCCCTGACCTATTTACATTTCCCATATCCTCCTATCATGCCTTCCCTGTCACAATTTTTACCGTGCTTATTTTTAATGTGGTGTGGTATATTCCTTCACACTCCACACTGTCGTTATCATCCCCTTCAATCTTGTGCTGGGAATGTTGACCAGAGTCTGTCATATTGTTACGTAGTCCTTCCCTGGGTCATATCAAAGTCTCCCTCTTTCCCCATCGAATCCGTCTGCTATCTCCCTGGTACATGTATTTCACTCGACCCCTGCCACCTCCCATCTGTGCTATCCGAAGCGTAATTCGTCCATCCCTTGCACCTGGACGATTAATTAGGGGCTAAAGCCTATGTTAGCTACTTGATAATCCTTTCGTTGTTTTCTATGTCAACTTCTGATTAGACGATGCAATGCCAAGCTTTGATTGGGCGACGCGAAATAAACTATTTAGATTAGTCACGTACTTACTTGATTTCTGCGCCAAAGGATGTTGAGGTATGGCTACATATGGGATGTAACAAAAACTAAACACTGAATGGTCAAAGTGTGGGAATAAGTCACTACAGCCTTTTGATAAGATGAGACTAAACTAATATTTTAAGAGGGGTAATTTTTATTTTATTTTCTTCCTTGGCTCATCATCACGAGCAATGTTCGAGTCAGCATTATCGATATATCCTTATTATTGCTAATAACGGCTCTTTCTTTTATTTTTTATAATGGCCAAAATCAATCAAAATTTAGTATTATGTATTGTCTTCCATATTCATCTTTTACATGTGAAATTTAGTTTCATTATTGCTCTTCTATTAGCTCCTTTTTATTTTTGCAATGTTTATTGTTTGCACTATACCAGCCGAGAAACTGTCCCTTAAAACCGTGCAGTCATTATTTTGCTTTACGCATATACTTACTGGATTTAACAAGATAGACTTTATCATTATCATTAGCATCATTGAGTGAACACCGCGCTTAGCAATCTTACTTTTATTCTGTAACTAATAAATGACTGCCGAATCTGAATCACTTGGGCTAACGCGCATTAAAATCTTTTAGCTGTATATGTATATATGCTTTTAGACTAAGGAAGACCCATTATGATTTATTTTCAAAGAAATATTCTATTCACCATAAATATTGTGATTAATTTGCGGAGACGTAGAGATTTTTGGAGCGTCTTTGTAAGAAATTATGACGGAAGCAAGAGCCGGGTACCCTCGGGGATCTGCAAGGATGAGATGATAATTGGTTCAAGTTTGTTATCATGTTAGAACTTTCTTATAACAGTCATAGACATCGCCTGTGCCACCTTTGGTACTTAGTTTATTTTTCTACATCATTTATCTGAATTATGGACAAATTTTTTATGTAACATGAGTCGATATAACTCATTGTATTTTAAATGGGAAATGCTGACTTTTTATTTTGATCTTGTGTCTAATAACCATCTGCTCTAGCACTTAATGCGATTGAGCATAAGCTTATATAGATAGAATAGATTTTTGATAGTCTGTCTTGCCTATCATGTCGCACTGAATTACTAATGCTTTGAATTTTATTCCAACTTTATTCGTTTCTTATTTTATGCTCGCTAACTACCTTATTTGCTGAGTATAAGTAAATTATTTGTCTTATGTTTATTTATGCCTCCCAGATTGGTTTGCTTGACTATCTGTTGCAGAATATTCTTGATTGATTGGACATATTTCGCAAATATTCACAAAGTAAATGATTATTTATTGGTGAAATTACCTAGATCATCATCCATAAAATAGATAATTTGAGTTCGTATTATGGTATTTTCTAATGCATTGTTTCATTAGTTGATCATGATCATGATCTTGAATGAATCATTGCTAGTATGATGCTATATTGAAAATTAAGCTGATTCTCATTGCGAATCTTCCTCCATATTGGAAGATATTCGCTATCTTTTTAATACATATTAAACTATCAGGAGTATAGGCATCTTAGGAAGGATATCTCATCATCTTATTTCAGAGCAACTGCGATGCAGACTAATTTTTCGTAATTTTTTCTTTTTTCTTTCAATGTTGTTTTTTGCCTATCAAGAGGTCTTGTATTTATTTCTGATTTCGAAAATGTTTTTAACGTTTTGAACTGACATTTAGTAGCTCAAATGCATCATTCAGAATAGAAGTAATCCAATTAAGCCTTATCATTTCCTCTTTTTTTTAACCATTTAAGTGCGCTGCTTGGTTATATAACAAAATGTAAAGCGTTATGCTTTCTTGGTCAGGATATACGTTTCTAATCTTAGAAACGTATAATGATCTCTAAATTGATCTAAGAGTCAATGTTAATATTTCTTTTCTTTCACCCAATTAAATGTCATCGCCCCTGAGAAACCCTATACTTTGTTAACATGTATTATTCACCATCTGTCAAACAGACATTTCAGAGACAATCTTTTACTTGGTCACCGGAAAAACCCTTGATTGTTCACTTTCGTCCGGCTCAGCTGATTTATCTTTCTTGCTTCTCGCCAGTCTGCCCACTCTTCTATCTGAATCTCAATTGTCTGTGAATTCTCATGCAGTTCAGAGCCATGTATCAGTACCTATGGCTGGTACCGGTTGTCCTTTGCATGTCTCGAATATTAATCAGCCTACTTCTATGAATGGCCCTAGTGGCCCTAATAGCTCGCCAGATTCTTCTCTATCTCGGACAATCACAAGACGCTCAGTCAGCAGGCGAATTTCATCCATAAGTTCCTCTCCTGCTCAGGAGCTAAGTTATTCTCGTCCGGCAACCAGTCGTTCTTGCGAAAGCAGTCAACGCCAACGGAAGTCTCAGCAACTCCAACAGTTGCCTGCACATCTAACAGAGCCAAACGTCTTTTTCCAGGCACATAAAAGTGGTACTGTGGATCTATTTAGAGAGACATTTATGAGTGGAAGTAATAAGGATGCGGATGATCAAGAGGTGCAAATTGACAAAGATTTTGACAAAAATATTGAAGAGAAGGAGCTATTTGTAGCTGGAGAATCAGAACCTATTACCTTAGATACGAAATTTCAGTCTGACCTGCCTTCTGAAGTCATTCGGTCGGTAGTATCTATTTTACCTGCGACATTGGTTCAGCAGGCTCTTGAAGCTGTGGTTGAGGCCACTGCAACTGTCAGGAATTTGCTTCATTCCTCCTGGAGTCCATCCAGATTATCCATCCTTCAACGAAGCCAGGATGAGGTTGAAGCAATTGTCGACCTCATATGGTAAGCAGAGCCAGACATTCGCTCATATTTTCTGCATTTAATCATTATCATAGACCCATCACAATATAATCAGATTTGTAATTAGTTTAACTTCCTATATTATCTTTATCTCCTACTGACACGGTGCTGTCATGCATACGATCCATTAGACCATTGCCATTATATCCATGCAAGTATCGTTTTCTTGCACATTGATTTGCACAATTGAATAATATTTTGGCATCCTAAGAATCATATAAGGGAAAGTAACCAATCAAATTAAGAATACCTTTTAAGTTATCTTGGTAGGACTTGACCATATTTTCATATTCTGCGTTAGTATAATACTTTCCCCTCCTGCATATCCTTTCCTCTACTCCTATTTCTCCGTGATCTCTATTTTCCTGCTTAATGGTTATTTGCACTTGGTGTCACAAAACCCATGGATTCAGATTTTCCCCTTCGTCCTACCAGATAACCCAGCTTTACCCATCAACCTTAAGTAAATTTAAACTATGCGCTATTAATCGAAGGTATAAAGAACAAGATGGTGTGGCATTTCGTGTGGTCGCAGTCTCCTTTCGTTGTATAAAAGTTTGACCTCATCTTAATCTTCATACCCTCGATGATACTTTTAATCGCAACCTCTTCTTGAGTTAGCTGTAATTCTGGTTTCTAAAATGCAATTTCAAGATACTACTTCTTATCTTTTAATTTTAAAAAATAAAGAAAATCTTTTATATGTTCAAGCTATAGATATGCATACGTATTTCCCCCAGTTATTGAATATGTGCATAATCAGATCACTATTTTCAAATCATCATTGTCACATTTCACAACTTATTTTGGCTTACAAGCTCTTTGGGGTTCATTTTTCATTTGGTTCATTTGGTGAAAGTCTGAGCCTACCCTACGTAGTGAGTAGGTTTCGATACTATCAATGAATCTTGAACAATATTTAATTTGCATTCACCCTAGTTCGTTTGCCATGATAAAGGACTGGTAGTTAAATTTTTCCGCATCACGCTTCCATTAAATTTCATATAGCCTTGCTTCCCAAAAGGTATTCTCACCCAGGGTCGACTACAGTTTCGACCTCGACTGAGTCTCATCTGTACCTCTAGCAGGACTAGAATCCAGGTAGTGCGACGTATAATCTTGACACGTTACTCACAATTCCACATCTCTTGCCCTAGGGTTACAGGACATACGTGTATTTCAAGGAAGGCCAGGCATTTTCCCATACCACTTTGTGTGATGGAATTGTCGATGAAACAAAGTTATATTTCCTATAACAATAGACTACGTTACTTACTTTTCGTTTCATAAGCAGGTTTCTCGGTATTACCAGTAGATCTGATATGAGTTGTATTCACCATATTTAATTTAGGATAACGCGTTGATAATTGAATTTTTCTACACTTACACTAATGAATCTCTTGTTTTAATTGAATTTCGCGTTGTCTTGAGTGTGTTGATGAGGCATAAAAGGAGCGGAATTTATAGTCCACTCTGGATAAGAATACCTTCTGGGAAGCAAAGCGATGTGAATGTCACTGTAAGCACATCTCTGCTCATATTGCGGGAACATCTAACTATCAATCCTTTATTATCTTAGACCAAATAGGATGAGTATATCTCATGTCATTGATTTACTGGTAGTCTCGAAACCACACTAAAACGAAACATATCTTTCCCTATTTACACCTATAGTTGGACTTTTTGAGAATTATTTATATGAGATGTATTCACCCTATTTTGTTTAAGAAGAAGTATTGTTAACCTTTGCATTCGATGACATTACTAACTGCGCAGCGTGTAGTTTTCGTGATTTTTCAGGCAATGGAATGCAAAATTCGATTACATTCCAATGCCTTATCATTCTATATTGTAAAAATTAGTATATCATCTTATACATCATAAGCTGAATCAAGTTCTAATCCAAGCTGTAGTGGAGGTAGTGAATCCTACTCCCTTCCTATTAAGTGGCGTCATCGATTATAGTGACAAACGCAAGTTTGTCCTACATTCAATCTCTTTATTAGTGTGAATTGGGAGAGGCTTGGTTTACTTTGAAGGTATCTTCTACCTTATGATCCATTAGCACCAGTGACTGTGGCAGTGATAATTCTACTACTGCATACACGAGTTGGTTTCTAGGCCCTTTGAGCTTGTTGATGTTACTATGTTAAATTAAAACTGCAATCCTCTTAGATGTGAATGCCTTTTTAAGGGCAAGGCAATTGCATCTCAATTTCAATTCAATGTTATCCTGAGGAATACTCATTTCAATCCTACACTTTCTTATTCCACCTAAGATTTTCAAGGTTCTTATCTAAACTTAAAATAATACTTTATTTCCTTCACTATTTGTTTTCTAAATGGAATCTTATTTTATAACCTAATCTTAGTAAAATATTCTAACTTTTTCATTTTAGTGAGCTAGCCCCGCCTGTATTAAATAGTGTTGGTAATGCCAACAGCATCTGCTTGAATCCTGAGGCCTCACTTTCTGTTTGCCCCCATACTGGTCTTTCTAATCCAGCCAACTTTGTTATGCAGCAGATAGGCTCTCAGAGGCCTTATAGCTTTTTATATTGTTGGTGGTGGTGGTTCTCAAAGCATCCGAATATAGGCTCCATCAGATCTAGCACTGCCGTATCTACCGCCGCTTCAGTGCAAATGAATCATTCTTCTCACAGTGCTGATATTGACTCTTCTGGAGGCGGGAATGTCCGA